TGTAGGGGGGTGGGGTGACCAGCCATATCATACTACGAGCCCTCTTCCAACTGTCAACGACTTAGACAGTTGAAAATAGCTCACAGAAGGGCAGAGACAAGAAGGAGAACGAGAATCCCATGACTCCGAATATATCTTGAACTCAAGCACTCTACTGGACTATACATATTATTTTTCTTCTGTCTCTTTTCTTTATTTTTTGGAACGCCGCTTGTCTTTTATTCTTTATACCCCTGGGAATGTGGTGCCGCGATTCGCTTTATATCTGCTACTTAGCATGATCCCTCAATACATCTCAGCACTTGATTACTACACACAAGAGGATAATTTGTTCATATTCCGAGTATATCGCGGTGGATGTGTTGTCTCTAAACTGTTGTACGGCGGAAATGCTGCATACGTCCTGTAGGCTTCGGCCAGACACGTAATACATAACAGTATTTCTAAAAGCTTTACGTCTGTAGTTCACCAGCTAGCATAAGATGGATGGTCACATTGTTGCTCTATACGGAAGCTTGGCCGGCCAAATATAGCAAACTATGAGGACTTTCCGTAGGCAGTTCAGTGGCAAAGTGTTCAGGTAACTCAGCATTATAGCCATAGATTCATAACAAGGCAATATTATACCATATCAACTTTGACACACTGGGTAGAATAACGCGCAATCCAATACAATGTGAAGGGACCTGGTGTTTCCTAGAGACATATACATCAAAGTAATATACTAACCCATCCATAGATTTACTATCGGTAGCGATAGCTATAGTCAAGTATATGCATTGTAGGTGTGCTATTTCGAAGACTGCCTACTCAGTACATAGATGATATGCAAAGTTACAAAGTATGTTCACGCCGATCAAAAGCCAGAACGTCATCGTCCTAACTAGCATACTCAACAATGTTATGAACGCAATTTGTTTTGTTGTTTGAATGAAAGGCTGACTATAATCGCAGGAAGATCCTATTACATCAACGAAAATATATAGGATTGCAATGTAATCTTGGCCAGCCACCCTGTGGCAAATATGCATCACTTTGCCTGATGATGAGATCAGTCATATTAATTGGCGCTGAATCTCAGCTGCGAATGCCATCCCTGCAGAATTGACAGCCTTGTTAATTGCTTGGCAGGGACTAGACCCAGTGCAGATTAGTGGAGGTTCCAGTTTTTTTTTTCTACATTAATATATTAGTATGGGGTAGATGTTGAACAGTAAACTACAAAGTAGATGACTAGGATAGACACACTTCAATTATTGATATGATATACATATTGATATCACTGTACATCCTGCTACCACTGCCTAATATACTATTGGGGCTGTATGTATCCTACCTAGTATGTAGAATGCCGGAACGACTAAAGCATTCAGCTACTTTAGTAGGAAGCTTGACCGGGCCACCAGAGTGGGCTGAAGCCGAGATAATTATAGAGAAATGCAGCAGGGCTGTACCGGAGTAGTGGTGCTGGTTCAGAAGTGTTGAGTAAGATAAATGTAGATCGGCCGCTCAGCATAATAGCCTCTACATGAATAACTCATAAATATGGGCAACAGCACTGCCTCTGTAGCTAGTAGAGAGTAACATAGTGGACAAAGTCCTACAGAAAAAGGTCAGGCGGGGCCACGTGGATCCTGCCGAGGGAAACAAAGTGAGGCGATTCCAGACTGCGGCCTCTGATTGGGTGCCTTCCCACCGCCAGCATCAAGTTGAATTTCCATTTCCACCCGGATTTCTGGTTTGGCAGGGCGGTCAGCCTCTCCCAATCAGTTCGCGCTTCTCCTCTTTTCCCTGCTGTGACCCGGTCCATTCGCCCTCAAAACTCTCCTTTCTCCCTCATCTGCTTCTGATCCTGCCTGTCTCGCTCTCTTTGCCCAGCGCTTCCCTGGATTCCCCGTGCTGCCGCTCTCCTTCTCCCGCTCGACCGGATCTCCGTCACCATCTAACCCTCTTCCAGTCCCGATTGTGTGTGTGCGCGCGCGCGTGAAAGCCAGCTCTTACCTGAGAGCTACTTCATCTCTGGTTCAGCTGTCCCCTCAGCGTACCAAACTATCCTCTCCTTGCTTCCCTAATCAGTCAGGCCCACCATTACCTTCTGGAACCGTTCTATGGTCCTCGCATTCCCCGGATAAACACCAGGAATTATTACTTTGCTGAATACTGCCGCCATCACAACTTCCAGCTCTAGATTGCCCAGGATAACGACCCATTTGACCCCTCAAGGATCTGTTTCCCTACGGTCGCCTGTACCATCATTGAATCGGAATTTTCTTGTTTGAACCACGTTCCCGCAAGGCCAGAAGCGTTGCGACTGCGATTTGCTTGTTGATCCGCCTGGACGGATTTCACCTCGACCATTGTGCGCGCTGTGCTAGTCCTATCTCTCTCCCCATCTACTACTACCCGCCATGACTGAGGTCTCGTCCACCCGACTTTATCTCGGGAATCTCCCCCGCAATGGTATGAAGCCATATACAAACTCTCCTTAGGTCTCCTTGTTTTCTCCTCAACCCGCTCTGGATGTTGCCCTTCTTGTCCACCTCTATCGTCGACACAGAAATCGGGATATTCCGCTGGATCGCCATGCGTCTGGATTGACCTCCCTGAGTCACCGAGGTTTTCACCCCTCCGGAGATTGATGGCGGATTTTCCTTCCTTTTGTTTCAATCTTCCTTGCTTGTGTCACGGTAAACTCAGTTTTCCGGATACTGGGTTGGCAGCTTCGAAATCATATCCAGTTGTCTCGGTTATTTGTTCTTTCAAAACCATTCGCAGTAGGCTGACATTGTACTCACGGCGCCCCGGGTGGGCGCCATTAGTGGGGTTTCTTTTACAGTGACTAAACAGGATATCGAGGAACATTTCAGCACCCATGGTTCCGGAAAGATTACTGAGATCAAGCTTATGAATGGCTTCGGTTTCATCGAATACGAGGATGCGATGGATGCTAGAGATGTTGTACCCGGTGAGTCACCCTGTTTTGCTTCCTAGCTGTCGCGTGACCATGCTAATCTAGGACGATTATCTAGCCTTCCGTATGTACCAACGCAAGCACCATATTCAAAGATCTTAATGGTTGACTTAACTCTCCATACAGACGGCAGTGACTTTAAAGGCGAGCGCCTCACCGTGCAATTTGCCCGTGGACCGCGCCGCAAGGAGAACTTCCCTGGCCCAATGGACCGTCCCAACATGCCTCGTCCGCGTCGCACGATCTTTCGCATGATGGTTTCTGGACTCCCGGAAACAAGTTGGCAGGTTAGCAGCCCAAGTCCCCTTTCTTCTGGATCCACCGGACGCCTTGCATCTCGGCCGATTTGCGTTTCCTAATTCATCCTTTCCCTGTACTCCATTCTATGTTCCTCCACCTACGGCCCAAGGGAATCCTGGCGACGAAGATCAGCTCCTCATGATGTATGGGTCGTTCACCAACCAACTTTCGGACCCCATCTAACTGAAAGGAAGGCTGGATGGCTGCCTCCCATGGTCGAACCCCAGCTCTGAGAGCTGAGAGCTGAGGCCGGACAACCCTGTCCAGGATGGAACGAAGGATCCCTCCGCCTACTACCCTGTATCGCTTGGGTCCCTTCTGGCCTGTTTTTCCATATTGTATTTTTCTAATTGCTGGCACCCGGACACATCGGATACCACTGTACCACTCTTGCACCTGGATATGGACTCACATCCTGGGGTTATCTAGGATCTCAAAGACTTTGCGCGTCAGTCTGGCTTGGACGTGGTTTACTCTGAAACTGGCCGTGAACTCGGCAGAGGGTGGGTTAATCCTTCAACTTCCTACCCGGTCGGACAGGACCCCATTGACACATGCTCCCAAGATTCGTGGAATTCGAGACCGCCAACGACCTGAAGACGGCCATTGAGAAGCTGGACGGACGTGAATTCAAAGGCTCCCGCGTAAATTGCATTGCCGATGTAAGCAACTTTATTGGTACCTATGATCTGAGTGGAACGAGAAACCTCATACCCTTCCTAGATTCAAACTTACCCGGATGAACGTGCCATTCGTGACCCGTACCGATCTCGGTCCCCTCGTCGGAGTTACCCGCCCATGGATGAGTATGACCGGCGGTTCCCTGCGCCGCGTGGCTACAGCCCCCGGGCTCACTATCGGGAACGCTCTCCCATCCCAATCCGGAGGGACTATTATGACCGGGATGGATACGGACGCCGCACTCCTCCTCGTCCTCGGATGGAAGACTACCCTCCCCCGCGTCGTCCTTACGATGACCCCTACGATGTCCGCCCACCCCCACCACCTCGCCATTATGATGACCCGTACGCCCCCCCTCGCCCTTATGGACGGCCTCGTAGTCCGCCTCGGGGCGAATACATGCCTTACGACCGCCGCGGATACTGGTAGTCGTCTGTAATTAGCTCGTTGGTTGTGTTACCTCAGCGCATGGCGGATACCCATTGTGCATGCTTTCCCCCTTTGTTCTCTTGTTGAACTGGTTTCCCTCATTGCCGTTCCGGATGAGTTGACAATTCCCAATCGGAGTCAGCTTCTGGATTGAACACGGCCTCAGATACGAATGCGTGTGTCAGGTTGACATGGACACCGGAACGACACTGGCGCTTGCTTTCATCACTTGATGTGACCATGATCTCTAGCCCCGCTGGTTCCGGGCTCCGACTGGAAGGTTTTTCGAGGTTTCAAAAGTAGGCGTATGTGGACAGCCGTGTCGGTGGTTTCTTTGCCGGTGTGGACGGCTTTCCTGCACATAATGTACGGATGGACCTGCGGATGTGGATGGATCTTGGCCTTTTATTATCTAACGTAATCACCCACGATGTCGATCATTTCACACCCCGGGATATTGTGTATAGTGCAACAATCAAATCAAAATATAGTATTTCCACGCTTGTTGGTCATGGAAGTAGGGTACGTAATTACTAGTTTATTATTCTAATAAAGTGACTCGCGTGGGTCCCGAGAAAATGAAAGCAGCTCCCCGCGCTAAACCCAACCCCGCCATCGTCTCGTCATCCGCAGCTCACGCGAAATTTCCTTCCAGCGCAGCTCTTTGTCTGAGAATTTTGCCTCGGTGGGACGGAATCTCAAAGTCAGGAAGGCCAATTGATCCATGCGACTGCAGTGGTAGCTTTCTTTATCTGGTTGGTGCTATCTCTACCAAGAGTTCGACTGGGGCTTCCACGCTTACTGGTTGACGTCACAACAGCCCATTGATTGTCTGGTACTCCAGCAGCTGCAGCTTCGAGCTCGTACCCCAGGAACTGACTAGATCCAGCTCTCTCCTCTCATATCTCTGTCGCCCATCCTACAGTCATCATGGCCGATCAACGCGTAAATGTCCATATCCCATCCCACCCCCCGGTGTTGGACAGCGTGCGTCTCCGCAACATCCAACTGCCCCTCCCAGCTGCCCCGGACCCATGGCACCGTTCCGGTAAATCGCAGCCTTGCACGGCATCGCTGAAGCTCTCCTACTCCTCCGCCGTGGCCGCCGCCATTGCCGACGATGTCTCCCTCTCCTTGGACTACGGCAAGCTCTACCGCCGTCTCGAGGAGGATATCCGTAACCTGGGCAAGCACCCCGAAAACCCGGGACACCGAATGATCAGTGTCGACGGGAGCCGTCGCGACGAGATGTTGGCAAGTGACGTGGGGCAGGATGTGCGTTTGACGGCCGGAATTGTGGCTCATTGTGGACTTGGACTGTTGGATGAGACTGCTGCTGGGGTCCGTAGGATGTCGCATGTGCACAACACCCAGCGTCGAAGCAGCGCTTCAGCGGGCTCACAGTCTCAGGCTCTGGCGGCTATTTTCAGCTCATCTTCGACTTCGCCTATTGATGGGGTGTTTGGCCAATGTGAGGTGTCTTTGCATCTCCCCAAGGCATTGCTGCGTGCGGATGAAGGACTCAAGTACCGGAGTGTGACGGTGTGGGGGTACCGTCAGGCTAATGAGGCTGTTACGGACGATGTGGGAGAGTCGGAGCGGTGTCCGGTCGTCCTGGAGGAGGAGTTCCGCATTGATGGGATCCGGTGCTACTGTATCTTGGGCGTCAACTCCCACGAGAGGGTGGAGAAACAGGCGGTCATTGTCTCTCTGGAGTTTAAGGGTCCTGGACAGCTGCCTTGGGGGTCTACGGTGGTCAATACGTACCAAGCCATGACCCGGGCTGTCGCTGAGGTGAGATCTTCTTCGATGTGTTTGTGCTTTTTTCTCCCCTGGAATGTTAGACTAATCCTGTCTACAAACTACTAGCGGGTCGAAACCACCTCCTTCCAGACGGTGGAGGCCTTGGCGACGTTTGTCGCGCGCATTGTCACGGTGGAATTTGGGAATGAACGGGTGACGGTGCGGGTTGAAAAGCCCAGTGCGCTGGCCTTCGTGGAGGGATCGGGGGTGGAAATCACTCGGTCGCAGGCCTTTTTTGAAGGGAGAGATGCATGAATGGCTGCAGGGGGTTTTGGATGGATCTGAACCTCTAGTACAAAATAATTACTAAATAGTTGGTTCAGCGGGTGGAGTTTATAGCCCGTCGGGTAGATCTACTACCCCTGCATAAGCTACAGTAAGTAAGTAACTCTATAACAAGATCCTGTGATAACGCCATCCTCCTTCTCTCCTCCATCTAGATACACATACTGTAGTATAGCCACTCGAGTACATCATCGTACACAGTATTAGTGGCCATGGTTCCTCAGGCAGCTTCCCCGGATTCCCCGATTGGGCAATCAGGTGCCATCCTCCAATGACCGCAACACGTGAAAGTCATCCTGCCCCATTGGGTCTAGCGTCGCTTAGCACCGGCACACGCTGATTGGTCTGCGGGCCGGGAAAAATACACTCAGCGCCGAGGCCGGGCAGCTTTCTTTTCCCGTTTGCCAAAGCAAATCCAAGTCAGCTCTCACTTTCTTCTTCTCCCTCTCTTCTTATATAAGGGATCTTCACCCGGTTTTTTAACCCTCGCTGTGCCTCTTGTGCCTGCTTCCTGGAGACTAATTCCATCCCCTGCTATCTCAATCATCCTCATATTAGCCGTTCCTCTATGTGCTTGTCTGCGCTGCCCTCGATTTCGTCGTCCGCTTTTATCCGCTTTCCCCGCTCTCGTTTGCTGACCCTCGACTTGAATTCGTCCTCCTCGGTGTCTCTCGATATTTCCTCTTCGACTGGCTTCTCGGCCGTGTCGTCCGCTCACTCCGTCTCTGACGACAAGGTGTTCTGGCTTAGGGTCCATGGTCCGTCCTGAACAAGGGCGGACGGTAAATAGGTGCTAAATCCGAGAGATCTTGCAGGCTGCCGCGTAACTTCCCTGCTGGGTCGCTTAGCCCTCTCGGATTGTGTGCTACCAAGTGTACGCTGCTCCGATCGACCCTTGACTCCCCCTTGCATATGGAAATTTAGGGTTTTCCGAGCATACCCCGCGCTTGTGCGTGCGTGCGTGTGTGTGGGGGCGTGGAAAGAAAAACAATAAAAGCTGACCTCTCTGTTTGTGTCATTAGATTACTTTGACTAGACCTCAACTAGAGGAGTGTCTCGATTTGTCGATGCCTGGGTGCATTTGATCGCCCTTGGCTTACGCATCGTGCTGTTGCCGTTCTGGTCGGACGGCTGCTAGATCGTGCTTGGTCAATTCCGGGAATAGAGAGATATTCGAAAAGAAGTCCACGACATAATGGATCCCTCGGCGAATACTACTGGTCACGATGACATCTCGGTCAGCGATGTGTTCAGTCCGCAAGCCGACATGTCGCATTCACACAAGGAGATCAATATGAGCGACGCCCCGGAAACCGGCTTTCGTATGAGCGCCCGTAGCCCCCAGCGCAAGCAAGGACCCATGATCAAGGGGCCTGGTGCTCATGGTGGCAATCCTTTCCCGGCTCCAGAGCTCAACGCACACCCTCTCGCCGCGAAGGCTGACCGCCGCAAAAAGAAGAAAAAGCACGCGGTTCATGAAGTCGCCCCGGCCCTTTCGACCGTGCGCGGGTTTACTCCTCGCGGCTCCGCCGATGAAGACTCGGACCGATCGGCTGCCAGCTCTCGTGCACCGAGCTCGCACCCGCGCACTCGTGCCGGGACTAATGGGGGCAGTCCGTTGGTCCAGCCCGCTGCTGGCTGTGGGGTGAGCGCTTTGAAACTCCAGCTTGAATCTATGAGCCTGTCCGGCAATGGAGCCCAAACCGGCCCCGCTGGAACCCCGAGTAATGCCAGTGTGTGCTCAGATAGTGATCAGACGGAGGTCCTGACTAGCTACGAGGTGCCTCTGGAGCACGACTATGTCAGCGCCGATGCGGCCGCCGAGGAAGACTCGCGAAGTACATCAAGCGTGCGGGATATGCGTACCCAGCTGTGCCGAAAGATGACCACCGATGACTTTGAGCCCCTCCTTTGCCTGGGGAAGGGGTCATTCGGTACTGTATTGCTGGTGCGCCATGTGCTAACGGGCAAGCTGTACGCGCAGAAGCAGTTTCGCAAGGCGTCGATTACCGTTCACAAGAAGCTTGTCGAACAAACCAAGACCGAGCGCACCATTCTGGAGAGTGTCAACCGCCACCCCTTTGTGGTAAAATTATTCTACGCGTTCCAGGACCACGAGAAACTGTATCTGATCTTGGAGTACGCGGAGGGCGGCGAGCTGTTTACGCATTTAGCTATGGAGCGTATGTTTGACGAGGATGCGGCTGCATTCTACATGGCGGAAATGGTGCTGGCCCTCGAACATCTCCACCAAAACGTCGGGGTCATCTACCGCGATCTCAAGCCGGAAAATTGCCTGCTGGACAGTGAGGGCCATCTCCTTCTGACAGATTTTGGGCTCAGTAAGATTGCCATCAACGATGACGACCGTTGCAACTCCTCGCTGGGTACGATCGAGTACATGGCGCCGGAGGTCGTGCAGGGCAAGTCGTACGGCAAAGCCTGTGACTGGTGGTCACTAGGCGCACTGGGCTACGACCTGCTCACCGGATCCCCTCCATTCAAGGCCAACAACAACGCCAAGCTGCAGGAGAAGATTGTCAAACAGAAGCTGGCTCTGCCTTATTTTCTGGGTCCCGATGCCAAGGACCTGTTGACTCGGCTGCTGCGCAAGGAACCGTCGAAGCGATTGGGATATCACATGCCCAAGGACTTGCAGACAATCAAGAACCACCGCTTCTTCCGAAAGATCGACTGGAAGGCGCTGGAGCGTAGGGAGGTGGCGCCTCCGATCAATCCGGTGGTGACAGACCCAGCCCTGGCGGAGAACTTTTCGATGGATTTCACGCAGCTTCCGCTGAGTCCAATCGTGCACGCGTTCGACGACCACTATGCAGCCCGGGCGTCCGGTCCACCAGCCAGTCACCCCGGTGAAGGCGAGCTGTTCGGTGGATTTAGCTTCGTGGCGTCGAGCAGCTTGCTGGATAATGGTATGATGGTATGAACGGGGTGTAACTGGTTGGCGGAGAGCATACAAATAGAACCTGACTGGTGATTAAGCATTGTGCATATTTTCCGAGGCGATTGTGCGATGTTTAAGATGAGCGTTTTCCAGCAATTCTAATATGAAATTCGGCTTTTAGTGCTTGTGCTCCTGAAATTGCGCAGCTGTAGTCCTGAGGGTTGAGAAGTGACGGTTGGGCATCACGCCAGTAGACAGAGCAGACATACAGCGCAAACAGACCCCATTTAGTATGTCACTGTAGCACACACAAGAACTTTCTCATCGTCCCTACCCATTGCACCCATCCTGGTATCAAGCTCTCAGGTTTCTCTTCACCTAGGTCTGGTATGTCATGTTCACCAAGGGCATTCAGGGGACGTAAGCACATATCCAGACACTAATTGCTATTCTTCAGACTGAAAGACACGTGCAACAGGGACAATACTATGGACCTTTTAAGAGTGGAGAATTGGGGTAGATAGCAGTTTCAACCATCATACTGCCCAGCGACCTGTCTATACTCGTCAGCTAGTCCAGTCTCCTGCAGTTCCAGACTCGCCTTAAATTCGGGTCATGTACAGTTTCGGCTCCACAGCTGAATCAGTGTCAATCCATGGGCGTCACTATGAACCAACCCTCTGTCGATCACTCGCTCGCCAAATCCACCATCCCTGTTCTGCTGTCGAGCAGAGAATTTGCAGTAAATGACATGGAGGTAACAGGACGCGAATGGCATCAGCATCAGCATCAGCATCAGCATCAGAATAAGTCCTGCATAACCTCCTTTTCTAGCTCATCTTCGGCAATCGCTCAGGCAAACACCTTCCGGACCCCCCGGACTCTCCATGGAACGACCAACGGCCCTGGTTCAGATCAACCGACCTATTTAACTCTAATTGCGATAATGGTCACTCCTTTTGCGGCGCCACATATTTGCCCGCAGAGCCTTCAAAATGCCAACCAGTTCCCCTCTTTTGATCGACGCCGGGCCTGTCAACCTCTTCTTTCGTGCATTCATTCCGTCTCCGTCGTTCGTTTCTTATTTGCATCCCTTGCTTCTTTGCTTACCCTTTCTCGACTCTCTCTTTTTCCCTTTTTTTATCTCCTTTCCTTTCTTCCACCAGCCCTCATGCCCACGTGGGCCATTTAAAGCCAAAACAGCCCGAGGCTATCATGGCCGACGAACGAACCACGCAGGATTCCCCCCCGACATGGTCGGATTCGGACAGTGCTCCTCCCGTCATTGCCGAGAAGAAACGCCGGTTACCCCCGTTTCTGGACCATTTCAATGGTCGCGATCTCAAGATCTTCTTTCGATGCTGGGTCGCCGTCTGGGTGGCTTGTTTGTTGATCTTCATCCATCCCTCGCTGGAAAGCATCGGCACTGCAACCTTTTTCGCAGCGTATGCATCTGTCCCCAATGCACGGGTCGCATTGATATGCTAAACATCATATAGTCTCGTATTATTGTTTTTACCTCCATCCGGAATTGTATTCGTCTATCTTTTGGGTGCGCTGTCCTTGTTCATCGGTATCTGCCTAGCTTGGGCATGGGGCGTCATCACCATGAAGGCTGCTCAGGCAGCGAGACCAGCGGCCGAGACGCAGGCTAAAGTGGCTGCCCTGCAGCAGACGGCTGTGTCACAGGCCCAGAACTCGACCTACTCCGCTACTGAAATAGCGCAGCGATTGGTTTACGAGGGGTACATGCTGGATGCGCGCGTCACTGCCGTGACCTTTTGCCTCATCTGCACTTTTGTTTATTTCATGGTAGGTAACTCTCCGATTAAGGGCCATGGGCTATACTGAATATACAGGCGCGTCTTCGGGCCAGCAATCCCAAAGCAACTTTGACGGCTATATTTGGCATTATCATCTCGGATCTATTCCTGAACTACACTCCGCTTCTACCCTCTTTCTCAGGAACCCTGCCCCTAACTCTCGTCAAGCCTGCCGCAATTGGGGTCGGGCTCGGCCTAGCATGCTCAATCCTCTTCTTTCCTCAATCGACATCGCATGTGGTTTTGGATAGTATGGAGGATATCGTCCGACTCCTCCAAGTTCCACTAGCAATGACAGCAAATACACTCTGCAAGAAGGAAGACCAACCGAATCCTGACGATCTGCGCATGACACAGGCTGGGATCATCCAGAAGTATAAAAGCATGGAACCATCCTTAG